TGTGCCAATGCACTCCAGCCTGGGTGACACAGTGAGACTGTCCAAAAAAAAAAGAACGAAGCAACCCTGGGACAACCAGGGTTAGCCTGATACTCTTAAGTAGGCCTTGATATCCCAGTGTAAATAAATAATTTCAGAGAATATCAACATCAGATAAGGCCACTCTGTAACTGTGATAAAGACAAAACAAGACCACTCTATAATCATATCTAAACACAGACCAAAACAAGAACACTGCCTAAACCACAAAAAGATCAAACATCCCTTTAACCTGGCTAATATAAATGATTGCTTCATTTTTATCAATTACAGCTTTAACCTCCTCCTAGATAAGATTAATATCCCAAACATAGAATTCGCCTCTGTCATGACAGTATCCATCTGGAGCAAAGTGCTATAACCTTAAGCCTTCCCCCAAATCACGTGCAACAAGCCTCAGTGTTGTAACTCCTTTCCAGAATTCTTACTGAGAGGACCCTCGATCCCCTATAGTATAGGTTCTCCTAGGTACAACAAACAGCTGTATCTGACTTCTTCTGCTACAGGTGGGTCCCTGGCAGTCTTTGGCTGTAGAGTGTTGACAACGGAAAAGTATTGACAGTGGGAAGTAAGAGTTCATGTCTAAAATTAAATACCTCAAACTGGGTACATCATCACTCTGCCTATCACCATCCTTCTCAACTCACATCCCACCCTCACCCCGTTCAAGAGTCCTCCTTTCTTGAATTCTTTTCTGTAGTCTCCTGGTTTTCCTGAGTTCCCTGCTCCTCCACAGCAAGCAGTTTTTCTTACCCTGTAAATGTACATTTTCCAAGGTTCTGTCCTTAGCTTATTTGTCAATATCAGTGGTTCTTAACCATTTTTGGCTCATAGCACTGTCTTTGAAAATCTAAGGACAAAAACTAAGAAGTACTTCCCACACTACCGCCCAACAATCTTAACCAGAAAGTACACATATAATCAAATCTTTGCAATTTTAGGTAAAGTTTATACAACTCAAACCAGGAATGCCTTCTCTACTCTCCCCATGGTAATGTAACAATGTTAATAATTCCTTCTATATAAACGCCTGCCAAATGACTAATTTCAATCCTTACTCTCTGCCGAGCTTCAACTAATTGATGAAAAGGACAAAACCCAAATCTGTACCTTAACATTCACTCTGCCATCTTTCCAGTTACACAGGTTCAAGACATTAGTATCAATTTTGTTTTGTTTTTGAAACAGAGTCTTGCTCTGTTGCCCAGGCTGGAGGGCAATGGTGTGATCTTGGCTCACTGCAACCTCTGCCTCCTGGGTTCAAGAGATTCTCTTGCCTCAGCCTCCCAAGTAGCTGGGATTACAGGCGCGCGCCACCACACCTGGCTAATTTTTATATTTTTAGTAGAGATGGAGTTTCACCATGTTAGCCAGGCTGGTCTCGAACTCCTGACCTCATGATCCACCCACCTCGGCCTCCCAAAGTGCTGAGATTACAGGCATGAGCCACTGCGCTTGAACTATTAATTTTGGCTTTTTCCTTTATAGGTTCTAGCTCTAAGACATCTTTTCTCTGTCTGCTCCTAGCCCTCTGTCACTGTTCTGGTTTAGCCCCTCATTATCTCTCATATATACCATGGCATAGCCTCCTGAAATTGCTCTCCCTGAAGGATTGCTTCAACCACATCACTTCCTGTTAAAAAATCCTTGGGACACTATCTCCCTATGGTTCACAGAATAAAAGCTTAGCTTGGCATTCAAGGGTTTCCACAATTTTATCCTAATCAACCTTTGCAAACAAATCTCACAACTGTGAGTTGCAAATCGTACAGTTTTCTTCTAGACACCTAAAGCTCCTGTCATACTAGATTTTAAATATTCCTCATAAATTGTTAATACTTGCCTCATAAAAATTCTGATTTTGGGCAACAATCCTGCAGGATGCAGGATGTGTACATGTACCCCAGAGCCCAAAGTACAAAAAAAAAGAAATACTAAGAAAAAAAAAATCCTGATTGCCAGCTTCTCTTTAAAAAAGAGAAAGAAAATTTTATTTATTTATTTTTTTTGCAACCGAGTCTCGCTCTCTCGCCCAGGCTGGAGTGCTGCAATGGCACAATCTCGGCTCACTGCAACCTCCACTTCCCAGGTTCAAGTGATTCTTCTGCCCCAGCCTCCTGAGTAGTTGGGATTACAGGCACCCGCCATCATGCCCGGCTAATTTTTTTGTACTTTTGTAGAGACGGGGTTTCATCGTGTTGGCCAGACTGGTCTCGAACTCCTGACCTCAGCTGATCTGCCTGCCTTGGCTTCCCAAAGTGCTGGGATTACAGGCGTGAGCCACCACGCCCGGTGAAAGAATTTTTTTTTTTTGAGATGGAGTCTCGTTCTGTCACCCAGGCTAGAGTGCAGTGGTGCAATCCTGGCTTACTACAACCTCCACCTCCCAGGTTCAAGCAATTCTCCTGCCTCAGTCTCCTAAGTAACTGGGACTACAGGCAACCACCACTACACCCAGCTAATTTTTGTATTTTTAGTGGAGACGAGGTTTCACCATATTGGCCAGGCCAGTCTCAAACTCCTGACCTTGTGATCCACCCGCCTGAGCCTCCCAAGGTGCTGGGATTACAGGTGTGAGTCACTGCACCCAACCAAGAAAATCTTTTTAACATTAGGCCCAAATTCCTATGTGGCATCAGTGGCTGAAGTCAGGAATTCCTTCTGTAGTTCTTTGTAGCCCCTACTACTCCTTATTGTCTTGTGCCTAACAAACTTCCTTTCACTTAGCTTTTCTGTCTGGCTCTGCAGGCAATCTGAATTTGCATAAGTCTAAACCACAAAAATATACCTTACCCATCCCAGCTGCCAGACCCATGTTCTAATTAAGGTTATACCACCTCTACTTCTTTAACGACTGTATTGTTATTAATGATAAAAAACAACAGTTGGCTATCCTTGCTGTTATTGCTGTGCTCAGTGGGGCCAAGAAATTTGGGGATTGAATGACTGCTCCTAGTTAGATTGTTAGCCCACAACAAAGGGACATTCTACATCAAAACTTTACTATTGAGAATACCACATAATCTCTCCTACCTCTGAAATCTTCACACATTATCCAAAGACAGTTCCAATTATTTAAATAATTTCCTCTCTTCAAATCATGGGAAAAGGTTATAGAATCATTTTTACTGCTGCTAGTACTTCTAAATAAGTAAAATATTGCTAACTTAGAGTATTTCCCAAATGCATGCAGACACCTTCTCAGCACCAGGTATTATCACTCCCATTTTGCAGATGCAAAAACAAAAGCACAAAGAAAGTAATCATTTGCCCAATGTCACAAAGCTCAAGAGAAGAGCATAGCTCCTAGTTCCCTGCTTTGGTTCTGGAAGCTAAACAAAAACAAATAAATGCTAACTCTAAAATGAAAACAGCTCCCCTTGCCCCAATCACTAGGTTATGAGGATGTAGGAAGACAGAAAGAGGTAGGAATTAAAAGTAGGTTAAATTATTATGTATCGTGCTTGCCTTCAATAAATTCAAGAAGCAAGAGACCATGATGATTAATTCAGTTTACAATTCAGTAATATTTGCAGGGCTAAACAGTATGATGCATGTGCGGGGAGTGGAATGAACTCTTCCAAGCAGGAAACTCTTTCTATTCCAAGTGACGAGGATAACAGTTCTCAACCATGAGTGGGCAGCTGGAGAGACCAAGAAAAGGAAGTTTTGTGGAGGCCTGTTGCCACCACTTAGTTTTGAAAGGCTTCTGTGTAAGACAAGCCACTCTCGACAGAAGAGGAAATGAAAGCTTGGCCCCAACCACCATGGTATTATTTCCTTCCTCAAAATTGTTTAAATTTTTGCGTATGTCCTTTATAAACAGACCAACCAGCATGGTATTATTTCCTTCCTTAAAACTGTTTAAATTTTTGCCTATGCCCTTTATAAACAGACACTTCTCCCAGTACTTAAGACTTTTTTTGACCTAGAGCAATCTTCTCTCCTTTAATGATCTAAAATGTGTTTCAGTCCAGGGTCAATTTACTCACACATATGGCATTACTTGTCTATTTGCACAGGGTGAGGTGAAAATGAAGGAGGGCTGGGCATAATCATTTCCCACCCATAGGCCCTAGGCCCTGCCTTTTTTCATTTGCCATTCCTCTGACATCATGCTATTTGTGAACTCTGTTCCAATTGTTTTCTCTATCTGACTTATTTTATCCCGGCCTATAATTGGGCTGGTTACAAAGCTTACTAAGAAATTTTTCCCTTCACACATTTATACCTGTCTTTCTTGTCACTCTTAAAAAGGCTACTTTCCAAAAAGAAAATGCTTATACACTGAAATATACTGCCAGACACACATTCCCTGCCTTACTTATAGGAAACAGTCCATGTATTTCTCATGTTTGTTTATACATTTTTAGATTCTATTCACTAAAAAGCAGGCAAGGTGTGCTATTTTAAATACTTTCACATATGTCCTTAGGCTGTTTTTTCACTATTACGTATCCTGAATGATGCTCTGAGCATTATTATTTCTTTCTTTATTTTATTTTATTTTTTTTTGAGATGGGGTTTCACCATGTTGGCCAAGATGGTCTCGATCTCCTGAACTCGTGATCCACCCACCTTGGCCTCCCAAAGTGCTGGGATTACAGGTGTGAGCCATCTCCCCCAGCCGCATCATTATTTCTTGACTCTTTCCATTGAGGCCTATGATTTAAAAACCAGCATAAAACAAACAAAAGCAATCCTCTAGAAGCAGCACATCCAGAGAGCAAGGGCCTAAAGAAATATAGTCCTTTGAAGACTTATCAGAAAAGAAATGTAGGCATGAAAAAAGAAGCACAAGAAGAGAGGAAAAAGTCATCAACGGGAAGGAATGGAAAGGAGAGTAAGGCAAGTCCCTCCCAAAAGAAACAGATGGGAAAAGTAGGAGCAAGAGGTTCTAGAACCAGTAGAGCAATATATCCAGGACCTAGGGGAGAGTTCACAGCCCCCCAGACACTTACCGTGTTGCATTTTGTGCCACACACCACTTGCCTATGATTCAACCACTGAGATGCAAACACTTTATTAAGGGTCCCAAGTTGAAACTCTCTCTCCTTCAGGAGACCGGGAAGTTGCTGTGCTGCATAACCATGCAACACTCGAGAGTAGCTGGTTTCATTCTGCATCCTGATTTCCCGGTTCTTCAGGTAGTATACCAAGGATCTCTTCACAGGAGGAAGTCTTTTCCTTTTGTGAAGCGAGTGATCCCAGCCAAACTGTGGAAAGCAATATTAGAAATCAGGGCTTTGGCTACTCTTGTTTAGAATGGATCCTACTGTATACAGAAATCACCAACTACTCACACTGTAGGACTTACAAGAGAACAAGAATCTCAAACCAGTAAGTCGCTTAACTCTTCCAACATTGAAAAGATGTTGCTCACAGTCAAACTTACCTATGCGAATTACAAGGGCTGAAAGTCAAGGGAATGAATGCAGAAGAGAACAGGCTAAAAGGTTTACTAGACCTTTTAGGAGTGAAGGATTGAAGGAAATGAGAGATCGAGTGTTTCCCATATCGACCTGGGCTGTATCTCTACCCATCCCCTTTCTCCCTCTCAGTTTGTACTCCCAGTGGAGCACGGAAGATACAGTCCAAGGAGCCAGGTCTTCTAGGGATGCACAATGAATGGCCGTTCCTCTGTCATCATGCCCGCACTCCAGGCAATTGCAGAATTCGAAAACTCAACCACCAACGGGATAGTAGGCCCCGGAATATCAGAGGCCACATCTAGGTCCAAGAAGTCCTTCCTCTCCAAAGGGGGCAGTATAGATAGACGATTACCTGGAAACTGTTGTTTCTTTTGGGGTCCAAATGCCAAAAGGCCCAGCTCAGGGTTGGGTATACATATGGGGAGACTCCTTCCTTCCTCGAGGAGGGACGTAATCATCCCAGCTTCCTAAGGCCCATGGAAGGTAGAGTTCACTCCCCCTCCTGATATCTCCAAGGAGGCTGGTTTTGTTTCAGATTCCCTTAACTTCAGTTTCTCCCTCCTCCAAAGCCAAAATTCTGGCTTCTTTTCAAGCCCTCTCCATGGCTGCAGTCTTATCGCGGATTATGTCCCATTGCTGAGTTCCCCTTTGGCTCCTCACCGCCCTGGCCTATATACCCTCCAGTTAATTCCCGAGGGTCCAGCCCTGACTCTATAGGGCCTGGCCCCATTCCTGTTTTGCCTCTGACTACAGACCTTGAACCCCGATTCCTTTCGCCGGATCTGCGGACCCTAAGTCTCTCTTGGTGCCTCGGCCTCATCACCCAGGTCCCGGCATCTCAGCCCTCACCTGCGGGTCCTGAGCGTCGCTCCCAGCTCCCGGCGAGGCGGGCGCTTTCCGCTTCCTGCTAACTGCTTTCCGGGCCATAGTGGACAGCGCCGCCGCGGCCCCGTAGCCACATGGGGCGGGGGAAGCGAGGGGTAGCAGGACGGCGGGTCATATACTGGGCCCCGGGGCCGCGCACCTTAGTGCAACCGGCCCGGAAAATGGCCCGGACCCGGAGTGGCAGCAGAAAAAGGGCAGAAAGAAGGGAAAGAGAGAGGGATTGGGGCAGGGAAAGGGAAGGGGAAACGAGAACGACAGGCTTTCCGACGGCAGAGCCTGGAAGGACGGCAAGCGGCTAGAACCAAAACACCCCCTCCCTCGCCCGCGCGCCGTCACCCTTGCGCAGCCGCACTTCGGACAGCGTCGCCACGGAGTCGCCGCCGGAACGAGAGGGGCGGGATTTAGGGTTTGGCAGAGAGTTCGCTGCGGTTTCCCGGCCGCCGCCAGACCTTTTCCAACGGTCGTTTGGCAGCCGCTGGTGGTGGACGAGCTGGGGCCAAGAAAATCTGGCTTCTGGCCGCCGATCTCCGACCCCAGCCCGCCCATCTGCAGGCACCCGGAAGTGAGGACAACCAGCCCTGCTGGGGGAAGGAATCCCTTATAGTGCTGGCCTTAACCTGGTAGCCGCCATCGGTTACCTCCCATATCTAGCACCAAAAGTTTCCCTGAATCTATCACAAACCGTGCCCTGGCGCCATGGACTGGACAGGGGGGTGAGGGGTGGGGCAGAAGCCACCCCCACCCCTCAAGGTGAAGTCCAGTCGGGAAACCAGGCCAGTGTCGCCAGACTTTATACCACCGCTGAGAACCTGCCCAGCACAACCAACCCAGGCCGCCCGACGGGACTCTGGCTACCCTCTTCCCACCCCTGGGTAGCTCTCAGGCTCCATTCTCCGCTCTGCCTCCTCCAAGTCCTTTCTCCTGTACGAGCTGCTTCAGCCCCTCAGTCACCTTCCCCTTACGCTGTGACTGCGACTTCACCATCCCCTTCACCATTCCCATGACCTGCCATCTAAACCACACGGTCTTTTGTGCTTTATGAAGTAGGCATCACGCTGTAACTTATCTGTCACTGCCTGCCTCACTCTTGGAGTCAGGCTGTGTCTCCAGTAGAGGAGACTGGGAATTTTGAACCACAGGAAAGAGAGTGGTCATTTTTGGCTTGCCAGTCCAGTTAGAGCTGGAATTGGCCACCAAACAAGGGGGCTTCATCAGGATCACCCTTGCCTCCATTTTCGGAAGATCTTGAAGGAATATGACTGCCAGCCTTCACTTTCCACAAGCAAACAAACCCTCTGAGGAAGCAGGATGCTCCTGCTTGGAGCTGGTTGGCCTCAGGCTGTGGTGCCCAGTTACCTGCTGGTCCCTTCAGGCTTCAGGCCTCAGGTCTCATACCTCCAGGGAGTTCTGTTGGCCCATCTGAAGTTCTGCCTACAAGGAGATTTGGATTTGTTTTCCCAGTTGAACCAAAGACCAGATTGAAACAGGATCTCCTGCCATCAGCGCTGCCACTAACCACTAATGTCTTGGGAAAGGCAGTTCCATCTTGTTTGGTCAGGCCTGTCCCTTTAGAGATATGCACATAGTGAATGTGTCAGGAGTGGGTCAGCTTGCTTTTTTGAGTCTGTTCTAGTTATGTCTTGCCCCAAAATGCTCTGGATGACCCAGGAACCCTTGCACAAGAGTCTGGAATCCTTTGAGAATCTCGAGGGTCAGACTGGGCTTGGATCCTAGTCTCCTCTGCCAGTGGCACACTGGGCACTGCTGCAGGCTCTTTCTCAAAGTTCCTTTACTTCATCTTCACATCCCAGGAACCAACCCAAATGCACCTTGTAGCAGAGCTCACCATTCCTTCCTTCCTTTTTTTTTTTTTTTTTTTTTTTGAGACTGAGCCTTGCTCTGTAGCACAGACTGGAGTGCAATGGCATAATCTTGGCTCACTGCAACCTCCGCCTCCCAGGTTCAAGCAATTCTCCTGCCTCAGCCTCCTGAGTAGCTGGGGTTACAGGTGTGTGCCACCACAACCAGCTAATTTTTGTATTAGAGACAGGGTTTTGCCGTGTTGGCCAGGCTGGTCTCAAACTCCAGATCTCAGATGATCCACCTGCCCCAGCATCCCAAAGTGCTAGGACTGCAGATGTAAGCCACTGCACCTGGCCAAGAGCTCACTGTTTCTACGCAAATAAAATAGAATGAGGCTGGGCGCGGTGGCTCAAGCCTGTAATCCCAGCACTTTGGGAGGCCGAGGTGGGTGGATCACGAGGTCAGCAGATCGAGACCATTCTGGTCAACATAGTGAAACCCCGTCTCTACTAAAAATACAAAAATTTAGCTGGGCACGGTGGCATGTGCCTGTAATCCCAGCTACTCAGGAGGCTGAGGCAGGAGAATTGCCTGAATCCAGGAGGCGGAGGTTGTGGTGAGCCGAGATCGCGCCATTGCACTCCAGCCTGGGTGAAAAGAGTGAAACTCTGTCTCAAAAAAAAAAAAGAATGAAAGTCTATTTCTAGAAGAAGAAATTTTGAATTTTGAAGAATCTTCTAATAGAAGAAATTTTGGAAATTTAAAAATTCATAATTGTTTTTGAAAGACTGCAGCCTGGCACGGTGGTTCATGCCTGTAATCCCAGCATTTTGGGAGGCCAAGGCAGGCGGATCACCTGAGGTCAGGAGTTTGAGACCAGCCTGACCAACATGGTGAAACCCTGCCTCTACTAAAAATACAAAAATTAGCTGGGCATGGTGGCAGGTGCGGGTAATTTCAGCTACTTGGGAGGCTAAGGCAGGAGAATTGCCTGAAACCAGGAGGCAGAGGTTGCAGTGAGTCTAGATCACGTCACTGCACTCCGGCCTGAGTGACAGAGCAAGACTTCCTCTTAAAAAAAAAACAAACCGGCTTTGCAGACGCCGATGCTGCCGCCACCGCCTGGAGCCTTGTAGTATCAGCCATGATCAACCCCACCGTGTTCTTCGACATTGCCGTCAACGACGAGCCCTTGGGCCGTGTCTCCTTCGAGCTGTTTGCAGACAAGTTTCCAAAGACAGCAGAAAACTTTTGTGCTCTGAGCACTGGAGAGAAAGGATTTGGTTATAAGGGTTCCTGCTTTCACAGAATTATTCCAGGTTTATGTGTCAGGGTGGTGACTTCACACGCCATAATGGCACTGGTGGCAAGTCCATCTATGGGGAGAAATTTGATGATGAGAACTTCATTCTAAAGCATACAGGTCCCGGCATCTTGTCCATGGCAAATGCTGGACCCAATGCAAACGGTTCCCAGTTTTTCATCTGCACTGTCAAGACTGAGTGTTTGGATGGCAAGCATGTGGTCTTTGGCAAGGTGAAAGAAGGCATGAATATTGTGGAGGCCATGGAGCGCTTTGGGTCCAGGAAGGGCAAGACCAGCAAGAAGATCACCATTGCTGACTGTGGACAACTTTAATAAGTTTGACTTGTGTTTTATCTTAACCACCAGACCATTCCTTCTGTAGCTCAGGAGAGCACCCCTCCACCCCATTTGCTCGCAGTATCCTAAAATCTGTGCTCTCGCTGCAGTTCCCTTTGGGTTCCATGTTTTCCTTGTTCCCTTCCATGCCTAGCTGGATTGCAGAGTTAAGTTTATGATTATGAAATAAAGACTAAATAACAACAGCAACAAAAAAAAACAAAAAAACAAAAAACAAACAAACAAAAATCTGCTAGTAGGCGGTTGCAGTGGCTTATCCCAGCAATTTGAGAGGCAAAGGTGGGGGGACCACTCGAGGTCAGGAGTTTGAGACTGGTCTGGCCAACATGGTGAAACCCCTTCTCTACTAAAAATACAAAAATTAACCAGCCCTGGTGGTACATGCCTGTAGTCCCAGCTATTTGGGAAGCTGAGGTGGGAGGATCACTTGCATCTGGGAGGCAGAGGTTGCAGTGAGCTTAGATCGTGCCACTGGACTCCAGCCAGGGCGACAGAGCAAAATCCTATCTAAAAAAACCAACAAAAAAATAATAAAGGGCTGGGCACGTTGGCTCACTCCTGTAATCCCAGCACTTTGGGAAGCCAAAGCGAGCAGATCATGAGGTCAAGCGATCAAGACCATCTTGGTCAACATGGTGAAACCACATCTCTACTAAAAATACAAAAATTAACTGGGTGTGGTGGTACATGCCTGTAATCCCAGCTACTTGGGAGGCTGAGGCAGGAGAATCATTTGAATCCAGGAGGTGGAGGTTGCAGTGTGCTGAGATCGTGCCACTGCACTCCAGCCTGGGCAACGGAAGGAAGAAAGGTAGGAAGGAAGGAAGGAAGGAAGGAAGGAGGGAGGGAGGGAGGGAGGGAGGGAGGGAGGGAAGGAAGGAAGGAAGGGCACAGTAGCTGACCCCTCTAATCCCAGCACTTTGGGAGGCTGAGGCAGGCAGATTGCTTGAACTCAGGAGTTTGAGACCAGCCTAGGCAACATGGAAAAACACTGTCTCTACAAAAACATACAAAAATTAGCTGGGTGGGGTGGCATGCACTTGTAGTCCCAGCTACTTGGGAGTTGGGAGGCTGAGGTGGGAGGATAGCTTGAGCCCAGAAGGTGGAGACTGCAGGTGGAGAGCCAAGATCAGGCCACTGTACTCCAGCCTGGATGATTCAGACCCTGTCTCCAAAAAAATCAAACACAAAGTAGTAATTCCTGTTTTTATTTTTGGTTTTTGAGAGACAAGGTCTCACTTTGTTGTCCAGGCTGGAGTGCAGTGGCACAGCATGGATGTGCCACCACATCTAGCTTTTTTTATTTTTTAGGAGATGGAGTGTCACCTTGTTGCCTAGAAGTTTACTTCAGCTTAAGCCATCCTCCCACCTTCGCCTCCCAAAATGCTGGGATTACAGGCATGAGACACTGAGCCCAACCAAAGCAGTAATTTCTAAATGTAATTAGAAATGCCTGATTTCATGTTTATGAAGTTTGAAAATAGGCACAACTGATTGATCGTAAAAGAAGTTGGTCACTATGCTTAAGCAGGGTTACTAACTAGCAGGGGACCTCAGAGAGCCTTCTGATGTTCTGAAATTTATTTATTTATTTATTTATTTTTCTTTCTTTTTTTTTTTTTTTTTCCAAGATGGAGTGTCGCTCTTGTTACCCAGGCTGGAGTGCAATGACACGATCTCGGCTCGCCGCAACCTCCACCTCCTGGGTTCAAGCAATTCTCCCGCCTCAGCCTCCTGAGTAGCTGGGATTACAGGCACGTGCCACCACGCCCAGCGAATTTTTTGATTTTTAGTAGAGACGGGGTTTCACCATGTTGACCAGGATGGTCTGGATCTCTTGACCTCGTGATCCACCCGCCTCGGCCTCCCAAAGTGCTGGGATTACAGGCTTGAGCCACCGTGCCCAGCCGAAATTTATTTATTTTTTTCTTTTTGAAATGGAGTCTCACTCTCCTGCCTAGGCTGGGGTGCAGTGGCGTGATCTCAGCTCACTGTAACCTCTGCCTCCCGAGTTCAAGCAATTTTCCTGCCCCAGCCTCCCAAGTAGCTGGGACTGCAGGCCTGGAGCGAGGATGTGGCTTGTATATTGCCTAATCTTGCCTAGAACTGTCTGCACCTGCTGTTCTTTTGCTTATGCCTTAACTTTTGATTACCTTAATTCCCTGTTCTCCTGCCTCGGAATGAGAATAATTTGATCAAATGTGCATTCAAAAAATTAGCTGCAGAATGCAGAAAAGAATAACAAGAGACATAGTGGTTCTTTTAGGAAGCCAGATGAAGTTGTCCATCTAAGAGACCTTCACAAGTGGTCCACGCAACAGGTGACAGAGACTTGGGTGGTTTGGAGATAGGAACAGACTCATAACATGTAAAAGATAAAATCAGCAGAAATGAGGACAGGGTATGAGACTGATGAGAGGCAAAGATTATTCCCAAGCTTTCATATGTTTAGAGAGTATATTTGTTTTGTTTCATTTATAGTGCTGAGGGCAAAGTGATGAATTCAGTGTTCTGTAACCAGGTTAGGACTACGGTTTTAAAATTTTTCTCCTTCCTAGCCTGATTGTCTCCTAAAGAGTACAGAGGATCATGCAGGATGCAGTCAGAAGAAAAAATACAGAGGAGTCAGAGTCACACCTTGTAGTCACAGCTACTTAGGAGACTGCTTGAGCCTGGAAGTCCAAGACCAGCCTGGGTAACACAGCAAGACCCCATCTCTTTTTCCTTTTCTTTTTCTTTCTTTTTTTTTTTTGATGTTAAGAATGTTTTGTTTTTTAATGTAATTGAGAAAACAAATCCACTTATAAATGCAAGAGATGATTGGAAGATGGATAATTGCTTTTTGGGATGGGCATTTTTTTTGTCTGGAGTTACTAACCTCCTGGGGCATAGCTGTCCTCCCTGCTTGGAAAAGAGAAAGCCTCATTCAGTTGTCTCCCTGGGCTCTAAGCTATCCACCTGAGATCACCGAGCTTCCGCATAGTGAGAGAGTTTTGGGGCTCTCGCAAGACATGATAAATTGCTGTATCTGCTGAAGAAGCCCCCAAAGTTCTTTGTTTTCCAGCATGTATTTTGCAGTGCCACTTCCAGTATCTCCTAGATAAGCTCGGATGTCTCCTGTGGACTTTTTAGCCAGTCACTGTAGCAGCTCTGCTTCTATTTCAGCCAATCTGCTTTGGTCTTCCAGGCTACCTCAGGATTGGGAGGTGCATGAATCCATAGTAGAGCTTTGTGTGATGTTTCTGTTAGCTAATAAGGCAATATGATATGAACCTGTATAAGGCATGAAAATCAGGCCACAATTCAAGTGAATAAGAAATATCATCTCTCTTTCTTTCTCTCTTTCTTCTCTTTTTCATTTTCTTTTTTTTTTTTTTAGATGGATTTTTGCTCTATTGCCCAGGCTGGAGTGCAGTGGCACCATCTCAGCTTACTGCAACCTCTGCCTCCTGGATTGAAGCCATTCTCCTGCCTCAGCCTCCCGAGTAGCTGGTACTACAAGCGTGCACCACCAACACTTGGCTAATTTTTGTATTTTTTTTTCTTTTTTGAGACGGAGTTTCGCTCTTGTTACCCAGGCTGGAGGGCAATGGCGCAATCTCGGCTCATTGCAACCTCTGCCTCCTGGGTTCAGGCAATTCTCCTGCCTCAGCCTCCTGAGTAGCTGGGATTACAGGCGCGCGCCACCGTGCCCAGCTAATTTTTTGTATTTTTAGTAGAGATGGGGTTTCACCATGTTGACCAGGATGGTCTCGATCTCTTGACCTCGTGATCCACCCGTCTCAGCCTCCCAAAGTGCTGGGATTACAGATGTGAGCCACCGAATTTTTGTATTTTTTAAGAGACTAGTTTTCCCCATGTTTCCCAGCCTGCTTTTGAACTTCTGGCCTCATGTGATCTGCCCGTCTTGGCCTCTCAAAGTGCTGGGATTACAGGCATGAGACACCATGCCTGGCCTCTCCTCCATTATTAAGTTTCATAGCATTATATCTCTCCTTTGTAGCACTTATCATAATTTGAATTTTACATTTATTTGTATGGTTATTATCTAATGTCTTCCCTCATTAGAATGTAAGCTCCTTGAGAACAAAAACTCTGGCTATTTATATACATATTTTTTGGAGACAGGGTCTCACACTGTCACCCAGGTTGGAGTATAGTGGTGTTGATCACAGCTTACGGGAGCTCAATTGATCTTCCTGCCTTAGCCTCCCAAGTAGCTGGGACTATGGGTGCACACCACTATGCCCAGCTAACTTTTACATTTTTTGTAGAGATGGGTTTTGCCATGTTGTCGAGGTGGGTCTCAAACTCCTGAACTCAAGAAATCCAACTGCGTCAGCCCCCTCCAAAGTGTTGGGATGACAGGCGTGAGCCATGGCACCTGGCAGATAACCATTGTATACATCTTGATGTGGTGTCTTACAGTTCTTTTTCACATGTACCTATATCTGTGTCTATAAACGCTATATCCACATGTAGGGTTTTTTTGTTTATTTTTTGATACAGGTTCTCACTCTCACTCAGGCTCGAGTGCAGTTTCATAATCATGAGTTGCTGCAGCCTGGGACTCCTGGACTCAAGCGATCTTCCTGCCTCAGTCTTTCCAGCAACTACAGGCACATACCACTGTGCCCAGCTACTTTTTAAATTTTTCTTTTCTGTAGAGATGTCGTCTTCCTACATTGTCCAGGCTGATTTTGAACTCCTGGCCTCAAACAATCATCATCTCAGCCTCCTAATGTTGGATTACAGGCATGAGTCACCACTCCTGGACCACATCTAGTTCTTTTAAAAGTTGATTTTGGACCGGGCACGGTGGCTCAAGCCTGTAATCCCAGCACTTTGGGAGGCCGAGGCAGGTGGATCATGAGGTCAAGGACCATCCTGGTCAACATGGTGAAACCCCGTCTCTACTAAAAATACAAAAAATTAGCTGGGCATGGTGGCGCGTGCCTGTAATCCCAGCTACTCAGGAAGCTGAGGCAGGAGAATTGCCTGAACCCAGGAGGTGGAGGCTGTGGTGAGCCAAGATCGCGCCATTGCACTCCAGCCTGGGTAACAAGAGCGAAACTCCATCTCAAAAAAAAAAAGTTGATTTTGAACTATACTATTTTGTTTTACTTTTATTTATTTTGGCTTAGTTTTATTTTTTGAGACAGAGTCTTGCTTTGGGCTGGAGT